TATTATCATTTCCGCTACTCGAACCGTTTGAATGAAAAGTTAATTGAAATCAAAGTAATGGCCAGTGCCTGACAGCAGCAGCCAGGACCCAGGACCAGGGCCCAGGGCCCAGGACCCAGAATAGTGCGCAGGACGAGGGCCCATCGAACCTTATCGTCAGTTGGCTCAATGAATGTAAAATAAATGAAAATTTGTTAAAAGCATCGCATTCAATTGCATTTTTCAAGTGCTAATGGCCACGTTAATGAAATGGGATTCCCATCCTCACACTTCCCTCTGTCGCTGGCTCTCTCTCTCTCTGCCTGTCTCTGTCTGTTTCTCATTGTTTCTCTTCCCCTGTTTGATTCCATTAGCTCTCCCTCTCTCTCTCCCTCTGTGCATTCCTGCTTACTTGTTGCACTTGGGGCAAAGTCGAACGTAATGAAATCTAAAAATACTTAAACACTTTTGTACATGAAAAACTAATGAAAGGCGTTGGCTTTTGTTGTAGTTGAGAATTCCTTAGGTCGAGGAGGGGCACAGAAGGAGTCAAATAATCGATTCGCAGGGCCAGGGAATCGAAAGGGAGGTTATTCTTGTCCTCTTTTCTTCATCTAAAATCTAAATTTATAAAATAAAGGTACAAATGGGTTTCTAATCAAAAATTGAAGCTAAAATCCCGCTCCAAGGACACTCGCCACTCTATTTACTGGGGATTATCCTTTGATACTCCCGTTACCCATAAATCCCCTTCCATATTCCGGGTTTTTTGACTGGATAATCAAAGGGAAATCCCTACCCCAAAGCTTTCCCCCTTTTTATCGACTTGTACAATGGCAAAAACCATTCATACTTTTCTAACTTATTGCATATTTCTCTTCCCTTACTTATTGCCACTTTCCCTTCTCACCCTCTCTCGTTTCTCTTTGACAGATGCACCATCCCATCCAGATGAAGCCGGCGGACAGTGAGAACAGAAATGGTAAGTTCCTCTTTAGACATCGTTTCGGGGCATATTTGCTCTCCTCTACGTCTATGTCTACGTCTCCGTCTGCCAGTCCGTCTGTCCTTCCGTCAGTCCCTGCATATGTACGGCTGATTGCTTGTTCCTCTTCTACAATACACACTGTATGCGGCTGTCTGTGTGAGCCATAGACTCGTAGCTGTCTGCGTGAGCCTTTTGGGCTTAATCACAAACTTGCAGGCGGAGCAGTTGGTGTCTGTATTTGATTACACAGAACAACACACAGAAAAAGAATTGGCCCAGGGAATGCGGCAATGAAAATGAATAATGCTCCAAACTGACGGGAAAAGTGGGTGGACCAGGGCCCAGGGACCGGGGACCGGGGACCGGTGGGAGGTCCTGCCTTGGCTGGGATTGTATGTGAGACCAATAAATCGATTAGGCTATGTGCTGAAAAGAAAAGGGAAACACCATCGAAGGCGACCGACAAAACAATTATTCCACGAGCAGGAACGTGGCCGGAAAAAGTTTTAAAGGGATTAGGGAGCAAGCCGTTTCCTATTATATCTTGGTGTACATCCCCAAAACCACGAACGGAAAAGCCTCTCTTGGCCCCCTTTCTAGTTGGACACTTTTCTTGTCGTTCCCCGAAGACTCGAGCCGTCCTTCAAGGAGATCTTCCACAGCAAAAACGACAAGGTGGTCAGGCATTTCCCCTGTGGCCACATTTTCCGCATGGAATTCAAATCGGAAAATCGTTATTGTGCCTTTTGCCCATCGCAAAAGGCGATGTCCAGGGCCCGCCTCTACGCCTGGCCACCACTTATGCAGTGCGTTTCCGTTTCCGCTTTGCCATATGCGTGCCTGTGCGTGTGCGTGTGTGTGTGTGTGTGTGTGTGTGTGCGAGTGCTGTGGCATTTCTTGTTGTTCTTAGCATTGCTTGAATGCAGCGGAAATGTTTAGGGCATCGCTCGCATTCACCTCCATGCGATGGCATCGCGCCGTTGTCGTCTTGTCTGCCTTGTCCATCGATTGCTGGTTCCTCCTTTATGTCTCCACACTGATTCCTTTCTTTTCCTGCTTTTTTCTTTGGCCTTCTCCTTTCCCCTCCTCTGGGGGGACAGACATAATTGCTTTCCTTCTGTTTCAATTGGTGTCCCAGCGGCTCGGGCGGGCAGGCAGACAAATTCTTTCCGCATATCGAAAGCCATTCGAAAATTGTGCTCTTGTTCGGGGCTCGTGTTCGATTGCGTCAAGTGTGTGCACGCATGGCGAAAATAAATCACAAAATTAAAAATACGTAACACGGAAATTTTATGGTAAATTAACTAAAAATTGGCACTCACTCGTGCATTGCCCAGTCGACCGAGAATCTCTCTCTCTCTTTTTCTCCCTCGCTCTCCGCTGATCGGTTGCTCCTCGCGACCCACTCGATGTTCGGCAGAATATTAACAAAATTGAGATGAAAAGTGTCCAACATTCAATGGGGCGGACAGAGCATTGTCAGTGTCTGCTTTTTTGATTGCCAACAAAATTAATTGCTGCATGCAGCACAAAATAAAGGAGGCACAACCTGATCCCTGACGAGTGGTCTCTGAGAAACAAAGAAGATTAAATACTCTGCCGAAGGGAAAGAGTCTTTCCACGTGTGGAAATCATCAAGTATCTCGCTTCTTGGCCTCCTCCATCACAAAGCTGATTTAGCCTTTCCCTTGGACTGGCATCATCGCCGAAAACAAATGCCAAACATTTTCAAATGCCACACAAATTTCTGAAAATGCAACAAGTGCAAGAGACTTGCCACAGCCACAGACCATACATACATCTCTATCTGTCTCGCTTTTGCTGGGACTCTCTCCATCTCTGTCGCTCCCTGGGGCCGTGTTGCGTGTTGTGCGAAATGTTTTGGCGACACTTGACAAAATGCCAGAAATTCTAAATACTTTTAGCTGCCTTTGCCTTTGCCTGTGCCTGTGCCTCTTCTGCCTTTCAGTTTGTCGTCGTCTTTGTCGCTGTCAGAGTCGTTGTTGCTGCTGTCCGCCTTTTAGCATGCCCTTTTGGCTTGGCTCGAATCGGATCGGATTGGAGGCATCTTGGCGTCTCTTTCTGCTTGGCCATCGATGGCCGTTCTGTGCGATGCACAATCAACTCAAATTAATGAGATTCGTGCAAATGAAAGTAGATCTAAGGCAGCGTTTATGCGAGTATATGGGCACGGTTTTATTCGTCCGCCTGTTGGCTTTCGGATTAATGGGTTTATTCATTTGCAAATTGTCAGGCGCTGACAGCGTCGTATCAATTTTGGCCGCAGGCCACCGTATGAGTTCTCTGCCCCCAAGGAATGGCGGTATCTTCAGATCTGAGAATGCACTTGCCTGTTTGCAATTTGCGTTTGTATCTCGCAGATACTTACTGCTGCCGCTGGTCACATTAGCACACTTTTCGATTCAATTATGAAACGTTCTGCGGGCCCCTGTGGGTCGCTGGTGTGTGCAAACAAAGCGCTTTTCTATGTTTTTCTCGGCTCTCGGGTCTCCCCTTCCCAATTGATTTTCGCGCCGCCGTGATCGCCCGTTTAGCTGGCAGATACACTCCGCAAGATACACTTCGAAAGATACACACAGAGCCACAGATGCTCGTTTTTTCTAGCTTTGATGTTAATTGCTCGCGTCTCGAAACCTTTTAGGTCGTGGCGATGGCGATCTTGTCAAGTGAGCACACAACTTTGACTCGACTTGACTTGGCATTAAATGTGTTAGGAAAAATGGAAAAAACTGAAAAATGAGAGCTGCTGAAACGCGGGCAGGGCCTCGAACGAAGGGGAGGGGTACGGAGGGACGGCTGAAAGACTCTGGGGCAAAATATTCAATGATTTTGTGTAATTTCATGTTTAGGAAAGGTTTTTTCTAATTTACATAAAATGTATGCACCTAAAAAATGTATCTCATCAGATTTCATCAGTATTTTAATGAGCTTAAATCAAATGACAAATACCTGTATGTAATATATAATTGAAAAAAAAGGTAATTAATAAGTAATCAAGAAACAAAAGGGATTTTAAGATACAGGTTCTAATTTATTAATCAATGAAATAAATTCTAAAAAAATATGACAAAAATATTATTATGGATATTATTTGACGATGGGTAAATATCGATTGTAATAAGTTGAGTTCCAGAGCTCGAAATTAATTAATCAATAATTAATAATAATAGTAATAAATTAATAAATACTATTAAAAAGAATACATTTTAATTTACGAAGCCTATGATATTTTACAACTGAAATTTTGATATGGAATGATTGAAGAATTTACCTTAAACTTGTTCAAAAAATCATAAATATTTAAAAAATAAGTACTACAGTCACTTAGGTTATTATTCTTTTATATAAGTTAAATAACAGTCCCACAGTGTACATCTGTCTGTGTGAATACCTATTAAAGAGCCCTCAAATATAGCAAGCAGATCCCCCATCTTGAGCTTTGTTTATAAGCCCAGGCCAGACATATCAGAATTCAATCAAGAACCTCCCTGGCAACCTAGGGGGAAGCTCTATTCCAATCATTCCGTATCCGCTCCGATAACACGACAGAAAAAGCGCTGAGTCAAACCGGCACGAATGCGGTAGAGAGACAAAGAGAGAGAGAGAGCGCGAAAGCATATTCTGTCATCTCTGGTGATCACTCCCCGAGCAAACATAAGTAAACAAACGTCAAGAGGCAACGGCAACGAGCGTGGCTAATTGCCATTCGTACAACCAGCCGCGAGCCACAAGCCACAAGTGTCCAAAACAGCTGTTTGCCGAGAGAGAGAGAGAGCACAGCGGGGAGAGAGAGAGAGAGCAAGCCGGCAAACGCTAGTGCTGCAGCATTGCCAGCAGCAAACGAAACGCCAAAGTGCAGCGCAATTGATCGAAAAGGGGGCGCAGATCCAAGCAGCGGGGCTTTTTTCAGTCTCCACCATTCAGTCAGCCGGTCGATCGTCGATCGGTGCCTCGTTCCGACATCTGTTCTGCTCTGCGCCGTTCGTTCGCCTGGCCGTCGACACAGTGATAGTCGAGCACAAGTATCCAATAGATACGTACGTACGTACTGTAGTTGTCGCCATTCGCGGCACGATCGAAGTGTATCCGAGTATCTGAGTATCTGTATTTGTATCTTCCGCGCACGTTGTGGTTGGTCAACTTCGTTAAATGAAATTCTTTAAATTAAATCTACGCGACGCGGCGCTGCCTTAATTGAAAACCGTTTGCCCAGTGCCAGTGCCAGTCCCAGTCCCAGTGCCCCGTCCCAATGTATCTCACAGATACGAGTATTGATAAAACTATTGCAAAAGCCAATTGATTCGTTTGCCACTCCACACTCTACACTCGTCGATGTTTGTTTATATAAACTTTTATGTGAATTGTACTTAATCATCGTTGATTTTGTAATTGAGTGAATTAGCTGGAAATTGCCAACAAATGTCCGTTGTGGTAACAGATTAAAGACTTTCAATGTACGAAATTATATATGCGGAAAAGCGTTTAGAAACTACAAGAATTTTGGTTTTTTTTTTCGGCTGCCAACAGCTGAAAATTCCTAAAAAATTAGCGGAAGAATTTCTGAAAAGTTAATTTAAATATTTGAAAAAGATTTGCCGCCCCCCACCAACATTGGTTTAATGGCTTTGGTAAATCTACCGCAAAATATGTGGCCTGCAAAGATACATATGTATCTAGAAACCGATTTCGATGAGGCCCAAAATAAATGCCATAAAAACATTAATTCCGCCATGCCAAAAACTCATTCGATTTGTCATTCGATTTGGCAATTGCCAAAAAGTAAACACGGCAGAGAATCGAAAACAATATGCAAAGCATTTCTCAATAAATAAATGGCAAAAAGGAACGAAAGCCAGAACAAAAGTAAATTCATATCTGAGAAGTGCAGCCAAGATTGAGTCACTCTCTCTCTCTCTCTCTCTGTCTCTATCGCCGGCTTCTCTGAGTTTCTCAGTCACTCAGAGATCTCGTGCTTGGCCCCAACCAGTTTTCAGTTTCATTTCCATTATAATTACCTTTTTTTTGCATCTCAAAAATTAAGTTTATTTTCCGTTTTCGCTCGAGTCAGCTGTCTAGTGTTTTTGTTTGCATTTTGTTTTGCTTCTCAGCAGCTGTATCTGTATCTGTATCTGTATCTGTATCTGCGAGATTCTAGCCGGAGATGGCGTGCCGCTTGCGATCGAGTGCGAGTATCCGAGGAATGCCATCGACTGAAGAAATTGGAGAAATTCGTTCGGTTGCGTGTTGAAAGTGCGTTGCATTCTGTGTTGCAATCATCCGGGCATGGTCCGTGGCCGATGTTGCAGTTGCAGTTGCAGCTGCGGCTTGTCATGTGTGCCACCACAGCACACACATATCTTACGCTTGACGAACGGTAATTGAAATATGTGAATAATTGCCAGATTTCTGAGCCAAAATGGCATGAGGCAAGACCTGCTCCACCATCGAAAAGGAAAAGTGGCCATGGCTGGCTGAAAATCTCTCCACAAGGAGCTTGGAGACACCTCGTACTAAAAGCAGGAGTAGATATTTAGATACTCCGTACTGTATCTAAAAACCTGTTAATGCTTGAACTATTTATAGAAATTTTATTAGCTTCGAAAGATGAGGCTCAAAAGTAATTCCAACTCTCTGGCAAAGTGCTTTTAGCTGAAGCTTAAGCTGCGTTGATAAATGTTAAAGATACATACAATGTACCTCAGCCTTTGGACTGTTTTAATTACAGCCAAAGGCCAGAGCTCAATCTATGAACTGGCGTAGAGTTCTCTTGAGCACTTGATTTAATGGATAAAGTATTTACATACAATTAAGGCTAGATCTTGGCTGGCAGATCTTATCAAAATCGAATCTTTTATGAAGTTCCACCTTTGGACCCACCTTTAAACTGTTTCGCAAGCCTTTGAGATGTGTTCTTCTAGGGGAGAATAGAGTCTCTTCTTTTGGGTTCCCTATTTCCTGGCAGAGTTCTCCCTGGATCTCCAGCTCTCATCCATCAGCAACTCTTTTCTGCAATTCCCAATCAATTCATCCATTAAGTAAAGTAACCCATTTGCAAATAGAATTTACAAGCTCTTTGTTCTCTCCACTTTGAAGGGCTCCCCTATCCACTCTCCCCTCTAACGTCTCCCCTCTCGAACTGTCAGCAATTTTCCATATTTCTTGGGCCATCCATATTGCTCAACTCCAACCACTCCATGCAGATTCCTATGCTAGACAATTGTCATTGTTTTTCAGCTGGAATTATGCACAACGTCTCCTTGACTTTGTTGCTGCACAATAGAACCCTCAACAGGTTCTTCATGGGTTCTCCTCCACCAATTAGGGGTATACAATGATGGGAAAACTACTGCTGCCGGTCGGCCGGTCGGCCAGTCGCTCGAGAACACATTGTGCAATGCCTCAAAGTTCTCTGCAGTCGAACAGAAGTCGGAGACAACAATTAATTGAAGAAATCACGCACGAGGGGCCGTGAAGGGGAAGGGGAAGGGGTTATAAATTCTATGGAAAGGCGCAAAGTGAATGACAACCAATTCCATGATGACTTCTGATGGACAAATACTGCTAACGGGCTCTATGACCCAAAAGAAAAAGGAAAAGAACGAAGCAACGAAGAGAGAGTGGGGAGAGAGAAGTGCAGACCAGAGCAGGCGACATGTTTTGCATACTAAAAGATACAAATTGTATTATGTATGCTGCCCTCCAGTGGTTGCTGCTTTTTATGGCCTTCTTTCAGTCCAATTGTGGACGTCAGTCGAGAGAGGACCGAGCCCCAATCCCTGTCGCTGTCCCTATCCCTGTCCCCCAATGCGATTCAATCAGAGAATTTTAATTATTATTTTCAATTATCGAAAATGGCCTGTGCGTCTGTTCTTTTCAAGTGTTTCCCCAATGTATCTGTGGCTCTGGCGTATCTATATCTGTGTAATTAGGGGGCGTATTGTTTTATTATGCCCCTGCCCCTCATTCAGCCCCCCTCGCCAAGCACTTGTTGCGGCATATGGTTCGATTCGATTCGATTCGGTTCGGTTTTGTGTTTAATTTTAATTAAATTTCCCCAATACAGATACAGATACAGATACAGATACATCTGGGAATACAGGACTGCAGGGCTGCCGAGATGGGCGTATTCAAAGCCCTTCTAGTGCCCTTCGCAAAGGCTCAGCTGACAATATTGTTTATAACTTATAATTTTCTGCTGAATTATGATTCAGCTGCACAGCTGAAGCTCTTAGCTCCAAGCCGTTAACAAATAAATTAAACAACTGTCGTCGCGACGCCGTCTCGCTTCCGACTGCTGAAATTCGAAACTAAAATAAACACAGGCCCCAAAGCCAAGATCCAAAAGTGAACGCCCCACACAGGTAGAGTCGAGAACAAATATGACAACTAAACGAAATACGAGGCAACCTAAGATGGCGATTTCTGTATCTGAGAGATGCATTCCATCTGGGGAATGCGGTTTGCCTAAGAGATAAAGGGGTTTCCGATGGTCTCAGCAGATTGGGGGATCATGGGATCATGCCTGTCTCTCTATAAAACATATACAAAAGTTTTGGGTAGAAGGCACGAGAGATGGAAGGACTAACAGGGGTCTTGGCTCCCTCCTTATTGGTTAGAACTCTTTAAGATCTACGATTTGCATATGATATACATATATCTGAGCATTGTTTGCTATCTTCGATCTGTCCATGATCTGCTAAAGTATCTAGCATCTATGAGAGCTCCCTTTGTCCCCCATTAGCCGGGCCTGGTAGCAGCCTAGAGAGCTCCATTGCAGTGCAATTTAACAATCATTCAATCTTCATCATTTTCCCATTTTAGCCAGGCGCTTTTCCCCCCCTCTCGCTGTTGCCGTTGCCATTTTGACACAGCGCAGCAATAATAATGATAATTTTGTAGTGTTTGTAGCATTCGAACTGTGTTGCCGCCTCCGTTGACGGCAGACGGGCGGGGCGGGGCGGGCTCATCGTGGACTGAGTACACAATGGCTAAAGTACATACCAGATACAGATACAACTACAACTACAACTACAACTACAACTGCAGAAACGGCAGAACAAACCCAACAAACAGAGAAGGAAGCAACAACGACAGAAAATAAATATAAAATAAAGCAAAATAAACCGCAGAACGAAGCGCGAAACGGCAGCGAACAAAATAAGCGACGGCAGCAGTTTGTCACTCAATCGCCCAGACATCAGTCGCGTTTTCGGATCGACAGAAACGGAGGAAACAGAAAAAAAAAACTACCGAAATTCTCTCTCCGGGTATCTAACAGATACTCTTAAATCGGAGACGTGCCACCGCCATCGCCGGCTGTAATCGGAGAATTCTGTAAACCGATTTGCGAGACATTTGCCGCGCACGCGCTTCTCGAGAGTTAAAGTTCAAGACGTGCGCCGATCCGTGCCAGGTATCTCTCAGATACGGAGATACTCGCACTCCGCGACTGCACCAAAAGCATACGTGTACGTGTCGCCTTTTGGAGTGTGTAAATCAGAATTTGAAATGCACATAGCATTTGCATAATTAGCGGCCCGATAAGAACTTTGGTTGGTCTGAAAGTGCTGAAAGTACAGTGATCACTGGATAAACTAGAAATTATAAATACTCTAGGAGTGGGAGAATCTAAGAAACTGACGCTTAAATGCACAGAAACTGAAATGTTCCTATAAATATTAAGGGAAACTGTTGGAAAAGTGTGTTAAAGTAGGGAAAAGTGAGGATTGTACAACAGTGGAGCTAGAGTACTCCCAAAAACTAGTTAGAGGAATAAAAGACCCTTCAAAACCCTTGACCCTTCTCCAGCGATATCTTTTCGACTTCGAATGGACTGAAAACAATTTAAACGTATTTTTATAGAACAAAAACTATAAGTTTATGGAAATGCCCTTAAGAAAACGATGAAAACCTCCACATTAAAGATATTCTTTTCTCCAACCCAGTCTCCACTGTCTGGACATATCGTGTGCTACGTAACAACTCTATTTACCTGTGAAAACAATGAACCCCCCAACCCCAACCCCAAACCCAATCGCAGCCCCAACAATCGTGTCGAGTGCAATTTATCCCGAAATATGTATGTACCTCGAAAGCAGCTGATTAGCTTTGCTCAAAGAGAGAGAATGGGAGGGAGGCATACAATATTGTATAGCAAATACCCGATTTCCGATCCAATTCGCGTTACGGATGAGTGACGCGACTCGACTCGACTGTGGAGCTGGGAGCTTGGCGCTTGGAGCTGGGTGTGCCGGGCCATAAATAGCCGCCGATGAAGGTTACAGATGAGCTCTGCTCTCGCCTGCTCCCCACTCTCCCACCTTCAAGGTCAGCTTGGAGATCCGACTGCGCCCTAAAGTCAATAATCCATATAACCAAACGAAGGTACTCTCTCTCTCTCTCTCTCTCGTAGACGATATTGTACAACATTTGCGCAAATATCAACAAACGAGAAACCGAGAACAAGTGTGTCCAATGTTCGAATGCAAATAGAGAAACCCAGGCGGGCCATAGAAAATGTATTTTCTATTCACGTAATGCCTGCCTGCTATTCGAGGGAATATTCCACCCAAAAAATAATAATAATATCCACTCAGAGACGAAGTCGACAAACGGAAATTGTCACATGTCAGATTTTGGTTCGGGTTCGGGTTTTTTTTCGTGGTATTTTCGAGGAGATAAAACTTTGAGTGCAGCCCATATTAAATACAATATGTCAACAGCTCGTCAAAATCTCTAAAGCACAAAATAAAATCCTAAAAATATGGTGTACTCCAAGGGAGAACCTGTCCCATATTTTTCGTTGAGTAATGGACGAAATTTATTGGAAAATATGTGTAAATAATCTTTGTAAAGCCTCTAGTATTTCTGTAGAAATCCCACTTTTTCTCCCTTGATTGAAATTGTCTCAAAACTCACTTTCAATGCCTCTACATTTTTTGATAAATATTTATCATGCTTCAAATGGCCCGCTTATAATGGAAAAGCGTAACTTTACGCTCTGAATAATTTCATTTAACAAAACCAACAGCAACCAAAGCAAACAAACAACAACAACAAAAGCAACAACAACTATAATAAAACACCACATGAGGTGGTGCAAAGTTCAGAGTGGAAGAGTGTAAAAGTGTAAAAGTGAAGTTGATGTGATAATTGTGTTTCTGCCCGGATAATGCACAAAACTGTTCCAAAAGTGGGTTACAAATAATGATAAAATTGGGGGAAAACTCAAGACCTCAGAGCCCGCCTAATAAGCATTTAAGGGGGGAGGGGGGGAAGAGTTCGCCACATTTTGAATACGTCTAGAGGCCAGCGAAGCGTTACCAAAATGATTACAAAAAATGTCACAACAGTCACAACAACGATATGTACACATGGGAGTATAGTTATAGTCATTCTGTACTGTACTGTACTGTACTGGGGGTGGGGTGGTGGGGGTGGGGGGAGACGAATCAATTTGTTTTGCAACAACAGAAAGACTGTTCCACTTTTGGTTCCACCTGCAAGTTGTTGGGAAACTCTCGTCAATATTTGCACTTTCTTTCGTTTCTGAGTTACATTCCCAGAGAGATCTATAGCCTATAGACAGAGCAATGGATATATAGAGAGAAAGAGAGAGAGAGAGAGGAGCAGGGAAACTTGTCTATTTACGCATATTTATGTCTATATGTTGGCCATGTACAAACAAGAAACCATCAGCATCCGACATCGTCATCATCGTCTTCGTCGTCTTTAGGCAGTCTGTCAATAGATAGGCAACCGTCAATTTTAGTTGGGTCAAAAGAAATTGAAAATAGACAGGCAGGTGGATTTTCGGGGGAGGAAAACTAAGGAAAAGTCAAGTAAAGCCAAGCGTCGTACAAAATAGAAAATACCAAACAGAAAATATTCGAATTTCAAAGAAATTGATTGACAAACACGAGGACCCGGCCACAAAATCAATTGTAACCAAGTGGGAATTGGTCTCCGAGCAGATAGCTCTGATGGATGAGATATGTTTGAGTTTTGAGTGATTTTTGGGAACTTTAGGAATAGAAGATATTGGCTACAGATCGTACCTCTTGAGAAAAGGCACAAGCCCTTCGTAATACCAAACCCCCGTTTGGCTCGGAGGAATTTCACATGGAAATAAACCCAACTTGATAGTCGAGGCATTGTTTTCTGTTTTTCTGTATATATTTAGGTGTCGAACAGTTGCTGGTTTGTTAAGTTTTTCCAAGTCGTTTTCGGTTACTATTTGCTCAATTTTTGTATATTTTTTTGTGGCCTTGTGTAAATACAGACATTTGTTGCTTGAAAGCATTTTTCAAGCTGATTAGAGCTTCAGGCAGGTGTTATATACAAAGTACCTATAGAGCGGGCTACAGAGAGATAGCTATGGGCGTGGCTGAGAGGCAGGCAGAGTTAAAAGTTCTCCTTTCATTCGGAAATCTATATATGAGGGCAAATAAAAATTGTTTAAGCGAAAGCTTAGCCGGCCATTAAATTGAAAATCAAATAACTGCGCTATGTGATCGCCATAATAATCGTAATAGTAAAAACAAATATCGTATATCTATATCTTTACGAGGCAAAACGGGTCATGTCTGGCCCATTAGCGCCGGGGCCGGGGATGTGCAACAAATTGAAAGTAAATAAAAACCCGAAAGAAGACAGGAAAAAAGTAATGATACCTAATAATAAAAAAAATATTGGCGTTATTACAAAATGGCAAACTGCAAATGCAAATGGGAGTACGATTGCACCTCCCCGTAGAATATGGCAAATTAATTAGTTATACGAAAATGGCAGGACCATAAAAACGCCGTGCAAATCGCTTGCAAAAAAAGAAGAGTGAAAATATCAAATGGCTTTTGTGTGTGGATTGCAAATAAAATTCAAATTATCCACAAGTGAATAATTGTGGCATTTTAATGGCCCTTGCCCCGCGCATCACGCACCCCGCCCTCCCCTCCAAATAAACGAAAATAAAATAAAATAAATATTGGTTTTTGTAGTTTTTAATATAGCCCAGGAGGCCCATAAAACAAACTAAAAACAAATAAAATTTCGCTTTTGAATTTTTTAACGTGTGCTCACTGTCGTGGCGCCATCTAGCGGCCAATAAATAATATGAAAAATCCAAATATCATGGAATGCAGCAATTCCTTAAACAACAACAACAATCCAAATACCGCCAACAACAACAACAACAACAATAGCAGCAGCAGCAGCAACGGCAGCATCATTGCAGCGAACAATATCAACGGAAACGGAAATGGAAATGGAAATGGCCTGGGCATGGGCCTGGGCCTGGGCACTATATCGGGCAAAACAAATCCAGGATCATCTCCATCGCCCCCCCAGAGCAACAACAACAACATCATCATCAGCAGCGGCAGCAGCAGCGGCGGCGGCAGTGGCAGTGGCAGCGGCAGTGGCTACAACAAACTGAGCTCCTCCACGGGCTCCTCGCCGCAGCATCATCCGCAGCTTTCGCCCTCGCCACCGCATCACCACCACCAGCACCAGCACCAGCACCATCCCTATGGCCATGGCCATCCCCATCAGAGCCCGAACCCCAACCAAAACCAGCAGCACCCGCCAACGATGTCCACAAACATGACCACAAATGGCCATCAGTTGTATCCGGCGATAACGGCAACGTATTGGCTGCCGCCACCAAATCCGGCGCCATATTTAGTTCCAGGTAATTAGTGTTACTTGCGTGGGGAACCGTTGATTCAAAGCCCAACCAGTCCGCAGTCCCTAGTACAGTGAAGGCCCACAGAAAGGGCTTGCACTGGCAGCAACTGGAGGGGCAGGGGCTCAATTATGGTTATAGAGAGGGGAAAATGTAATAGAAAGGTGTACTTTCTAAGCCTTAGATTCAAAATTGATGCTTGATTGATTGATGATAGATGTAATTCCTAAATCCCATAAGTCATAGCCCCCTTCTATTGATGGTTTATGTATAGTAACCCGATTTCCCAATGGTTTTCGGGGGGAACCACTTTCTTAACTAATAAATTCAGCTCTCTTTTCCCCTGTCCCCCAGCTGGTTCGCTTTAGCGACACCCCACTGTACCATCTATTGTCTAAAACTCATTGCAACTTTTCTCTTTGGCAGCGGAAGCGCGTCGCCTGCAAAAACGTTGCAAATTATATTTTCGTGTTTATTGTGAAGCTCCTGCGAGGATTACAAAAGCAACAGCGGGTTCGGGCCGCTAGAGGGAGCTACAGAGCAATGCAATTTTCTGCAAAGGCAACAAAATGGCAGAGGGGTGTGGGGGGAATCCCGGAAAGGGGTATCATGGGTCATGTTTCGATGCAAGTTCCATGCTTTTTCCACTCTTTTGTTTTTTTGTTGGATTGTCGTGTATTTTATTTCCCTTTTCGCGCCAAGTGGCTAAATGTTAAACCATTGCGAGGGGGGGGGGGGGGGGGACAGAGGGGGAGCATGCATACTCCTCTGTGATTGTGTGTGTGTAATTTCATTTGTAAACGCCACTTGCTGGGCAGCTAATTAAATTTTAGCTTTGTCAAGGGACTTTTTGCACTCCTCTCTCCTCTCTGAAGGCCGAAAACATTTGGCTGTACAGTGGAGTGGGGGAGTGGGGTAGGGGGGGGACGGGGAATTAGTTTTGATATTGAGTTTGTTGGCTTATCTCGTTTACATCTATATGTGTGTATATTTGGTTCTGGTTTTTGGCTTAAAAACTAATTTAGTTTTGGGATATATTTAGATTTAGAAAGAGATGGAGATGGAGATGAGATATGACTACTAATACGGATAGAACCAAGTTTCTAGAACTAATGTGGCATTAATTATATTATATACATATATTAACTGATGTTCAAACTGACTGCCACGATATCAGTTATCGATCTCAATGCAACACTGCCTGTGCATCACTGATCAGAGAAGGTATCAAAGGTATCTGCTGCTCGATAACGTCTTCTGTTAATGTTCTAAAACATTTCTATTAAATCTGTAAAAAACCCTTTTAAAACTACTTAATTTTTTAGTTAGAAAATTATACCTAATATTATACCACTAGTCCAGAAAGAAAGAAAAGGGTCCCTTGATCTTAGCAATAGAAACCAAATTCAGTAAAATTTGTATAGCTCATTCCATTCATGTAACATTTAAGGGTCTTTATTGCCAAGAAATCAAACCACGTAGCGGCTTAGGCGTAGTCTTAGACAATAGTTTGGCTGTTCGTTGGGCAAGTTCATTAGTTTCTTGCATAACTTCCGTAGCAAGCAGCTGCCTGACTGATCAATTAGCACAGTTCTGCTAAAGATCTAATCAACCATCATTCCCACTGTTTGGTTACTCAACCCAACAGATTTCTGTGCCTATATTTTTAGCATTTCCTATCGTTTCGAGTAGACCAAAAGTCTGCCAATGAAGTGCATTCCATCAAGCACTGCCATCCCCTTAAGATGGTCTTCTTCTTGGTGCCTCTTCCCCGTCCTCTACCTCTTCTGGTTCTGTTCTGTGTCTGTCATACCCGGTTCGTTGATGTGACAGTTTCTTGGGTTGCCTTGGGGTCTCGGGGCCCGGCTCTGTCGGTGGCATGCAAAAGCTACGTGACATGTGGATAGTTGTTGCTGCTGCTGTTGTTACCACAGCGAAACGTGTTACATTTATGTTAACGCATTTGCACACGTTGCCAGAGAACGGAGGAGAAAGATATGTACACACAGATATACATTTATAATGCCACAAAATTCTAAAATCCACAACACACTCTCTCACACATCCACACAGATGTTACACTTCACTTTTGACTGACAGCCATTTTGACTTATGTTCCCTGCCCCCCACCCCCCGTCCCCCAGTCCCTGCCGCCATTTCGGAGGGGTACGAACTCGTACAATAAAGTAGTACCTCGTTATTTGATCTTCCCAAAAAATTATGCATTATTTTTTTGTATTTTTTTCGCTGGTCGCTGCATTGAATTGCTTTTAAAATATGCACTTAATTTATTTATAGCTTAGGTTTTTTTTGTGTTAGCTTTGTTCGCTTTTTATCATTGCTTTGGCTTGCGTCTTCGCTGGTTTCGTTAGCTCTAAACGCTTCTGGCCCGAGTCAAAGTCGGACTCAAAGTCAACAATTCATTTCGCATATATCGCATAAATATGCAAGTCATGCGCCAACTTAGACGGGGAGGCAATTGCTGGAGGGGCAGGGAGATGAACAGGGGGCTGAGTAGCGAAGAGAGAACCCGAACCAGAACCAGAGAATGATAGAAAACAGATATATGGAGAGTACTTAGGGCGGAGGGGGGGCTGGTGTACTGTCTGAGGAATAGTTCCCGGTAATGAGAATATTTAGGGTTATCTGTATGCCAGTCGCATATGAAATTTGAGGTTATGATGAGAGGAGAGCGAGCTACGTTTCGGTGGCACTTCTGAAGGGGCACGGGAGCTGAGGGGAAGGTAAACTGTTTACCAATATTCGTACGAGATAAGAGGTGGCTCGGGTTGCGGCTTTAAGGCGGTTGTAACTGGATACCAAAGGGCATTTCAATAAGAGCTAATCCTCCCCATAGTTCACACATTTTTTAGGTACTCCCCAATAGAAACATCCATCTAATGCCTCTCGCATTTCCCAACCCATTTTTTGGTCTATATGTAGTAATCTGTCGCTAGATCAAACCCATTCATTTCCTACACTCTCTCACGCACTGGAACAACTCAATTTGTTTAGCAGCTAATTTGTCCGAGCTTTTGGCCAGGCCACGCCCAGTGGAAACGCCCCCGCCCTGGAATCACAAACAAATCAAACATCAAAAAGCAATAGCAAGAGAGAGAGAGGCAGAGACAAGTGACCAAAAAGCCTGAACAACCAACGAGAGGAAGGTTCAACGAACACCACAGAATGAACAACATCCATTCGCATTTTGCATAGACAATGCTCCGGAGAACAACAAACTGAATGCGTTACAGTTCAATAGCAGCACGGAATTAAGGGGGAGGGGGAGGGGTGGAGAAATCAGGGGTTCCGGGGGGAGGGAGGGGCCAATGGGTCGCCTGATCGACTGAGGGTCCCATAAGAACGAAATGAAATTCTGTCGCGACAAATACACAACAATGTGGAATACGTAATCAATTGATTCGGATGTGCTACTCACACACACACACACACACGCACACCCCACATGCATATGTATAAGCATTGAGTATCTGTGTGTGCATACATTTACATGTGAACCAAAACAGAAAGAAAAAAACGAAAAGAAATCAAAGAGCAAACCTTGGTGCTGGGAAAATCGACTAAAAACAAAAAAGAAAACCGAAATGCGCATTTATTGCCTATTTATCTGAGCAATCGGGCGGATGAGTATCTTCTATATCCAAAGTACATACATACTTACCTTATATACTGGTTATATGTGCCTCTAGCTATTTGGAGCCTGGCAATCCTTGTGCCTGCAGCCCCAGCCATTTTGCAGATGAATTCCGCTTCAGGAATTTTAAGCTAATTATGAGCCAGGGCCCAAAATGTGCTAAGCATCCAGTATGAGCTTCAGTTGGCAGGAATCGGCTTTGGGAGGCCTGCAAGGAGATGTTTAAGAAAGGATTAAATTGAGTACAGCAGGAGCCAGACTTGGGCTTTTTCCTAAGATGGTAGATAGGCAGGTTTCGAGGAGGGTAATCGCATTCCAAAGGTACTTTAAGGCAGTGCATTTATAGATTCAGAATGTTCTTATGTTCTTTAGTGTTATATCCAGCATCTGATCATCTTCTATATATTTTAGTTTACAGATGGTGGATTTTTAAAGAATTTCTATACTTCCCACCTGAGACCCGCCTTTCAATCATCCTCCCTTTAAGGCTAATGACTTTATTACACAGAATCAAAGGCTGAAAAGCCCCAAATCAAAAGGGAAAAAAGGTGCATATTATAAGCATCTACTCACGAGGAGCACCTCCTCCTCCAACTGCTCCTCCCTCTGCC